AGCAATGAATTGTTGCTGGAAAGACATGCTGAAGCCTTCCAGCCCTCAGCATTGTTCCTGCAGGGCTGGAGGGGATCGAGTCTGTCGTAAGCAGTGAATGAAGAGATGAAAATGTTAGAGGAGTGCTCACAGCAGCTCTGGCCCTAGCAGCCTGGCAAACTCTGTGGGGTGGCAGTGCCTGTTCCCAGGGACTGCAGAAGTAGGCAGGCCAACTGCATGTTCCCCAGGGCTGCTGCAGCCAGTGTGGCAGAGCTGTCCCCATCCTCAGAGCAACCTTACCTTGAGTGGGAGCTCTCTCAGCAGCAAAAGAACACAGAGGTATTAACTAATTGTAGGCCTTTGCTTACAGTGCAGCAGGACCAGGCCATAGGCACTATACAGCCCCTGAAGATTCGCTTCTACTGCAAAAGTCTTTGTAGCTTAGTCACTGAGCTTCCCGGGGTTTTGGCACTGTGCAATGTGGAGAGTGGCTCCCCATTTCCTTGGTCACCTGTTTCTTTCACAAAGCGTTCTCTGAATTCTCTCGAATTAATGATTTACTCCACTTTCTAACACTGCAGGCTAAATTTTGCCCATGGTAATGTAGCCTGTTAACAACAGAGGGTTTGAATGGGGCTGGAAGTTTCCTATGTCCCACGACAAGACTCTGGATTTGGTCATGTTGCTGTGCTTGGGGAGAGCGTGAGGGTGGTGGGAGGTGGGGATCTGCAGGGCTGCAGCAAGTAGGTCTGAATTTGCATCTAAAATAGCTGAACTGTGATGTTTTCTCTTGACAGAACTGGTAAGAGGCCACAGATGCTTACTTTCTGTGATTCGGAAACTTGCAAATCTTCTTTGAGTCACACCTTATAAGTAAAATTAGCTTGTGCCTTGCTGTTGCCAAACCTTTTCAAAGCAGAGATATTTGTACAAAGGAATTCAGCAACAGAAACGGAATTCACTTGTGGATCAGATTACTGTTATTTCTGGCTGGAAGCAGCACCAAAAATACTTGCAGGGATTTCCATTTTGCCTTTTGAAAGATGTTGTGCATATTGTTGATAGAAAAGTAGCTATTTGGGAGGATAATTCATGTGCGTTAAGAGACAGTAAGGGAGATGAGCCCCACAAAGCTGTCACAGCCATGAATGAGTGTTTAGCTTTGCACTGTAACATTCAGTCGCTTTTGAAATGGGGATCTTTAGCTGTTGTTGTCAAGAATGTTGTGACGTGAGCAGCAATTGCTGCTGCTTGGGAGGTGTTTCCAGCCAGAAGTCTAAGCTTTCATTCAAAGAGCAGTTTTTATGCTGATTCTGTATTGGCATCCTAGAGAGTTGTTTCAAATGTCTTCCTGCATGTGACAACTCTGAAGATGATGCTTAATGAAGGGAAATATTTTGATGTTAAAGTAGCGATCATTTGTGATACTGACAAATGTGATGTTACCTTAAAACCTGTCGGTTGGGAGCATAGTTCAAAAAAGTCTGGTGTTTAAAATACATGCTGATCAGTGGTGTATGTTTTACAGCCAGCTTTAAATAAAGCCTCAGTCCACTGGATAGTGCTCTCCTCAGGGACAGACGCCAATGTCATCTGAAGAGCTGGGCTTAGCGGCTGATGGACCTGCACAGCCCGCAGAGGGGGAGCGGGGCACCGGGAAAGTGCTGGCAGTGACAGTGAAACACCGTGTTCCCCTCTGCAGGCTAGGACAGAGCAAATGTCTCCAACAGCATTAGCTACCGGGGGCAGCCAAGAGCAGCTGTAAACTGTGGACTTTCAATACAGGTACTTGATTGCTTGTAATATAGTTGATTTTTAGAGTAAGGTCAGAGTCTTCTGATCATAGCCCTAAATGCTGATAAAAATGGGGAATGAACTGATGTCTGCAGTATAATATAGGACATTTTTATTCCTGGCAAACTGAAATTTTAAAGCAAAAGACTATAAAGCAGTTGTACTTAAGTAGGCATGTTATGTTGAAAATATGGTGGGTTATATTACTTAACCCCAAAATAATAAACTTCATGTCACTGTTAAATGAAGTCTTACTAAGCAACAACATGGTTTTGTGGCCATCTTGGCTAGGTTTCTTCATTCTGCTGGGTGGACTGTGCACAAAGAAGCGTATCTCCAAGGAACAAATTTTATGGCTCTTTTGTAATGTGTGTGAAAGGGGACAGCAACATATGGGCTTGGCATACCTTGGGGGATGACTGTGGGAACCTGGGAACATTTCATGCCTGCAGCAAGTGTAGGAAGAAGGGAGGAGGAGAGACCAACCAGCTGCAGTGAGCTGTGTGACTGCACTTAATTACATAGCTGCTCAAAGGAGCAGAGCAGCACCAGAGGAGCCCAGCCGTGCCCAGGTCTTTATGGCAGTTGAGGTGAAGAACACATCTTATACCATGCTCCTTCCTTCCATGTGGGTTGCAGCAGAATTGGGAGATTCTTGCAAGAAGCCACAGGCACCATCTGGACCAGAAGGTGCAAATAAAATTGTGTCCAGACCAAAAGCAAGCCAGATGCTGATGAAAGAACGGAAGAGGAACTGGTTTGGAAGCTCAACACTGTCAGTGATCAGAGGCTTCAGTTGCCAGCGGAGGCGGTAGCACGTTGTGGCTTTTCCAAATGTGCCACCGTGAGGAGATGCATTTATGGATCAGAAACTCCAAATGTTGTATAGAACTAAAAATAAAACTGCAGCAAGCTTGACAAATTGCAGGTGAGCACACTACAGGCAGAAGGGTATGCACAGAGTCCTTGCATTGAAAGCCTGCAAGAGTCTGTGTGCTGCCATATACTTCACAGCAAGTCTTAATCACATTTTCTCTGGGATTGGGACAGAGCAATTGTTTCAGTGCAGTGACTTTGCAGCTGTAATGACAGTATGTTCAGTCTCTTGTTCTGGGTCTTAAAGAACAGCCCCCTCATATTGTAAGTAAATGTACGATTAAATAGCATTAGGCATTTTTCTCTGCCTAATATATGTGACACACCCTAGTGAGGTCAATGGAAAGGCTCACATTCCTTTCAATAAATTTTGTTGCGCACCTTAAAAGAACATCTGATTTATTTACAAAGCGTGCTCACAGAGGCTGGGCCTGTTTTCCACTCTGACACCCTGATCTGGTGTTTAGCAGGAGATGTTTTCACTTCCTTAGCTGTTAATATTAGCAACTCCCTAGTACTCTAGGAACAGCACAAGCCTGACATCAGTTCAGACTTACCTGCACATAGGACCAAGTGACATTGCACAATTGCGTCTCATAATCGGGTCCATGCTGCACTCTTGCCCTGCAGCTGTGGGCACCACATGAGCAAGTGGTAGGAACAAAATGGAAAATTTGCCTATACCTAAGCACAACCCACTTGAAGGAAGTAGTTTTGACAATAATGTTACTGTAAATCTATTCTCATTTTCTTTCAGACTATATAGTAACTCTTTGTTATCACATGAAGAATTAATAGTAAGAAATTATCCAAGAACAACAGAAATCAGATTTTTTTTTTTTTGTCTTGAATTTCCACTCAGCTCCAATGAACCAGAACTGCATCCCAGAAATATTACTAAAGCAAAGGAAGTCACTTCTAGAGCTAGTGTGTAAACCAAGTTGCTGCTTGAGGAAGAATGTAGCACTGACCTAGCTGTCCTACTGAGTAGAGGGCCTGGAGTCAGAATCCCATTTTAGCCTTGGCAGCAGGACAGCTGATGAGGCTCTTCCAGTGCACACCTAATGTGTGTACTCACAGACTTGCATCCAGCCACCTAGTCATTCTCTGAGAGTCTTTAATTCTTATTTCTGAATGGCTCAAGTAAATGGACAAATAGCCCTTTCTAAGCCATGAGGCAAACTCTGCACTAGTAACATCCTTCAACTCCAGTGCAGAGGAGATTCAGCATCTGACAGCCTCACTTCTCTCCTGTCTTCTCTCTCCTGATCTTTTGTCCTTATCCTGCATGTGTTTTTATTTGTCCATTCCTAATCTACTGTGTCTCGTAAGTATTCATGCACGGGTGATGGTTAATGATGACTCCCATGCCCTGGCATTTTTGTAAAACAACGCTGATCTGTGAACACATGATCTCTTTTTGAGTTTGTTCCCGACACTTTAATTGCTGGGAATGTTAAAAGCCCTGGAAGAAGTGTCAGTTGAACTCCCTGTGTGCAAGGCATGCCAGGCTTACCAGGGCTTTTCCTTGAGGAGCAGGGAGAAGCATGAATGGGAGCTGATTTTATGGTTATTTCAGTCAAGAAAAATGAGGGATATGAATTGCTGAACTGTCATCAGTTTCAGTGACTGCAGTGCTCAAGCCTCCAATTTTAGTTTCATGCTAATGCTATTGTCAGCTCTGTGAAGCAGGTGATGCAGTTCCAGATGTAGCTCCTCAGCTGTTATGACTGGATTGTCTAGTTCCTATAACCTGACACCCAGCAGGAGTATCAGGGTACCATTTGGAAATGCTTTAAAAGGCTTGGGGTTTTTACATTGGGTTTGTTGTAGGTATTTCCTTAGGGGTGTTGGGTTGGGGTGGTTTGGGGGGGGGGGGGCGGTGTGTGTTTTGTTTCTTTTTAGGGTGGGGTTTTTTGTTTGGTTGGTTTTTGTTTGTTTTTGGATTGGGCTTTTTTTTTCCCACTGCCATCCCACTGCTGCCCCACCATGACCCACACAAGATCAGCCCTGCTCAGGCACGATACTGCCTCAGCTGACCCCCCATTTGGTAAAAGATAAAGGTTTACTTAAGACAGTTACATTAGAGCTCTCTAACTCACAAATCAAAAACAGGGTGTCTGCAAATTTGGGGATGTTGCAGAGATGTGCTGCTCTGGCCCCATATCTGTGAGCAGCAAAAAGGACAGAAGTGTTCCTTAGGCAGCAGCTGCCCATGGGTTTCTACTGTGTGTCCCTTGCACATGCTGGGCACAAGGTGTCAGAACAAAGGGCAGCGGCAGGTTCAGCCTTGTCCCGCTGCTGGTGCGGTCCCAGCACAGCCTGAGCATAATGCGGTTTGCTCCATACAGGCGCACTCTGGATTGCTGCGTGGCCGCAGCAGCACATGAGCCTGGCCTCACAAAGAGCAGTCAGCACTGCCGAGGGTGGACATTTTGGGTGTAACTGTGCTTCACAGTGTTACATCTGCTTGCAGGTGCTTGTATGGCTCTAGTCTTCCCTATGTTATCCCTTATGGATCTTTAGTATTGAAGTGATGCCTGATGGGGTAACTGGGGCCATCTAGAAAATACCTGGACATGGTCAGGTGTTCAAGTGCAATGCAGAGGTTTATTCCCTTCTGGAAGATGCTGAATGTGTAGATGGGAGTGCATGGGAGACAAATGCCTAGCATCCTTGCCAGGGGTGCTTGGCACCTCTGTCCATTGGAGCTGTGGGATGGGAAAAACTTCCATGAAATGTAGTGGTTTGTTTAAACATATATTTAATGAGCTGGACCCACAGCATTGGTTTCCTAACTTCAAAGACTGGTTGCTGACCTAGAGCAGTTGAGCTATATTTGCAAAGAATTGTTATTCTCCAGTGAATTTGCAGGGAGGAACGCAGCATTATGTTAACTATTAACACTGATTTTGGCTTCCCTGTTATACTCTCAGCCATTCTAGAGGATCCACACACAGGCCAGAAGATGACAGGAATGCCAGAAAAGGCTTTCCACAAAAAAAACCAAAACTTTCTGAAGCTTCAATAATCTGTGCTGACTCATGCTGTTTCTGAGGTATGTCCAAGATAGTGGTCACATATGAGTCTTTAGAGTTCCTTTTGAAGGTCTGAAGGCTTTGTTTTCCAGGAGAAAAGTCTATCTGAGCATTATTTGTGCTGGACTCAATTTCAGACAAAATTGCTGCTAGCAACTGACAGCAGACTTTGTATGACAGCTAGTGATATGTAGCACAGCCCTGTCGAAGAATGGATAATCCCCCATCCTTAAATACACTATTTATGTTGGCAGTATACAGACTTCTAGGGTTTTTACCAGCTATCTCAGACATAACACTTCAAAAGCACCACTGAGGGAACATCTATGCAAATCTCCGTTTCAGAACTTCTTAACTAAATAATGTGAGTGGGCAAATATGTTGCAGCCCTTTGGGGCTTACAGTAGAAGAATGTTCAAAAGTAAAAGGAAAATATTTGGGAAGTATTAATCTTTATTTATTTATTTTTTTATTTTTATTTTTTTTAACTATCACACAGACCTGGAAATTGTGTCAGCTGAGGGGATACACCAGTTTGTTATTGCAGCTTAATTTTCCCTGGTTAATTTACTTTTCATATTCATCAGAATTCCAAGGTACTAAACTTAAACCCTTCCTCACGTTTCCCTAAGCTTGAACTGACAGTTGTCAATGAATGGTCAGCGCTTTCACAAGAAACATCACCGTATTTCATTTAAGTATTAAAAGGATGCTGTATGTCAGGATTTCTGTGAGAGGAGCTGACAGCATGGAGCTGTGCTGCTGCACGGCCTCTGCTTATAGTGCTGCTGCTAGGGGCAGGGAGCAGCCAAAAGCAGCCCCTGAGTTCAGCCCCTAAGCAGCTGCAGAGCATAGCCTGATGAGCCTGGCCAAGGGCAGGAATTTCTGTCTGCTGAGCAGTGGTATGCTGTGCCCCACAGCCTTGGATTGCTAAATATACTGCTTGTTTGGAAGTGACCTGGTGGGATCACACTTCATTGCTGGCCCTGGCTGCTAATTTCCGTTCTTGGGTTTAGGTCAGCCTATTGTAACAGAAGTTCTCGTGCAGCACAAGACATCCTCCACTCACACCACAGCTAACAGCGTCCCACCAGTCAAGTTACCCCACCAGCTCAACAGCCTTAAGAGCTTTCTGTCAGGGCTTGCAAAGTTTCACAGAAGTCTGCACTAAAGCAATCATATTCATACATTCCTCAGATTTGGCCTCAAGTTCTTCTGGTTCTGGCCTGCTACCCAAATGTGCTGGAGAGCTGCATCTGTGCAAACACCACCCTCAGCGTCCAGTCTCCTCCTCCTCTTCACAGCTTGCAGAAAGCAGCTAATAGTGTTAGCAGAGTTGGATGTTTCGTGAGTTTGGGGAAGGAGGGACTTGGTGTTATACCCCCTCGGTTCTGTAGCTATATCAGACACTTTAAATTTTCTGTGGTTTGTGTTCTGAAGAAATTATCTTGTGTTCTAAGGAAATTATCTTTAAATGAAGTTAGAGATGAATGAAATCACATGTCTGATGAGGAATTTACATAGATTCTATTTGGTTTCGTCTCAAAACCAAGGAATTTTTGATTTATTGGTTTTGGAGGTTTTTTTTGTGAGAATAAAACTCCAAACAAGAGTCAGGAATGTCTTTTTTTATTTAAATGAAACATTTTGACATTCCCAGACTCAATAGCATTCAGTTTGTGGAACCAGCTTCAAAGTTAATTTCCACTTGAAGTCTTTTCCCTGTTAAGCTGCATTTTTTAGCTAATACCTCATGAACTTAAATCTCTCCAAGTGTCAGGGTCCCCAGGGAGAGGTCAGCAGCTCCCAGGGTGTGTTGCGCAGATTGGCATCAAGACATCTGCATTGCATTAGGGGAAACATGATCTTCCTGGAGGCTCTGCAGCTCTAACACAGCCTACAAGGAGATGCAGTGTAACATTTGTTTTAACTGACATGTAGCAGAACATTTTAGAATAAACTAACACAAAAAAAAACCACCCCCAAAAACAAACAAAAAACCAAAACAAAACCAAACCCCCACCGAACAATGAAATATGTTTCTTCCATTTTTTTCTCAGCAAAATGTTGAGCATTTTTGGAGATGAAAATAATGGTTTTCCACATTGTTTTATAAAAACCCCTCTGGATGCTGGTTTGCTCAGTAACAGCAGGTTAGGCTGCTGGTAACTGTACTAGAAAGTTACAGTGGAAACTTTCTTGGTTTTTACCATCAGAATCCAGGGATCCAGTTTCTGGCTTTCTCTTATGCTGACTGGTGCAATCACCACAGGCCTGGTTAGAGTTAATTGAATTAAATGGGAAGCTTGCCAGGGACTCCAGTGATCTTGGTTCAGTCATTAGCACAAAAACAGTGTAAGGATTGGCTGCAGTTTGCTATCCCAGGTGTTAGTGGTGACATCAGCCAACAAGTTAAGGTCTTGTCAGAAGCAGTGTGTTCTGGAAAAGGGAGTAGCCTTTCTGACTGGTTGTATATGTACCAGTTTTTTTTAAATGCAAGTGTTCCTCATTGGAATAATTTTATTTCATTGCTCACTTTGGAAAGTTTAATGTGTTTTGTATCTTCCCTTTTCAGTTGTCACCTGCACTTGTATTTTTCAGTGGTTTTGCAAACCCGTGAGGTGGATTTAGTCATCTTTCTGATGGACAACATTTCTGGAGGATTCCCTTTCCAACCCTTCATGGCTGGCTTTGCCAGGAGTCCTGAAGGGTGATCAGTGGTGCGGGTGGTTGGTGCTGCAGCTGCCAGGCTGAGCCAGTGCTCCAAAGCATTTGCTGCTGTCAAGTGAGCTTTGCAGGGCAGGGAGGAAGGAGTTGGCCTGTTTGATTTGGAGGGATATTGCTTTGATAAATAAAGAACAGCTTTGACTACCGCAGGAAAGTGGGGGGTTTTGCTGTTTAATATCCTAGATAAGAAATTCTGGTCATGAAAGTCTGTATAATTATTGAGGAAGCAATGGGAAAAGTAATATTCTCGAGTGCCCCAAGAGACCCTCTAGCAAATCGAGGAAGAATTAACATGCCTTAAATACTTCTTAAACAAGGGGGGGGGGGGGGGGGGGGGGGAACCCAAAACTTGTTCCTTTTCCTGCTCCTCCAGCATTTCAGACTTTTTGTCTGTTTTACAAATAAGCAAAATGGGAGACAAGGTCAATTTGTGAGTACCCTTGTGTGGAAGGCTATTCATCTGGCACAGACTGACCTGTCCTGAAGGGCTGTGCGTGCCCCCAGAGGGTTCCAGAGAGTGGAGCCAGCCATGGTCCCCACATGCCATCCCACGGTAGTGCCTGCATCCCACCTATGGTAGTGCATCATCTCTGTGGCCCATCTGGAAGTAAAAGACAACTGCGTTCTCAGGCTTGGGAGTGTTAATTAATGAGCGGAACTGATGCCAATAGTACTGCATGAACTGGTGAACTCAAAATGTTTTCCCTGTCCAGGTTTTGGGGGGGCTGTGATTGCAGCTGGGCTATAAACATAGATTTGGAAAGTGCTTCTGAAGCAGATCAGCCGTTTCCCCAGCTGGAGCAGTTTCTAGTCCTGCTGGATGTCACCACATAAATTCTCTCTGGGTGAGTCTGAGCCCTGTGTCTTTTTGGTGGTGAAGTCCTGCCGGGAGCCAGAGAAGCTGTGGCTCCTGTTTGTTAAAGCTTGGTCCATGCCAGGCTTGGCCCATGATGGGCTTGGCCCACAGAGGTGAGAATAGCCAGAGGTGGCTCCACATCAAACCCCTGACCTAGATTTCTTAATGCATTTATGCTTTAATAAACCACTTCTTATAACACGGTACACTGTGCAATACGATTTGCAGTTATGCTAACTCCATGATTTTCAATAATAACCTCAATGCATTCTGAATGTTGTGAAAGGCCATTTAGTTTAAGGAGTAATTTTTGAACTCTTTTTGAGGGACCTTAAATATTTCTAAACTTTCAAACTAAATTCTTGTAATTCAATATTTATTGTTGCATTTAGCATGAAATATAGAACAAAGCCTGAATTCAGGGATGCTCTTGACTTTAGCAGTAAACACTGACAGCATTTTTAATATATACTATATTTTAGTGGTGAATACTTAAAATTCTTCTTGTGTTTTGTGTCCTCAGCTATTTCTCTCTCTACTGTGGTTATCTGTAGATTCTGCATTGGAATGAGCAACATGCAGAGATCTAAGACTTATGATAAGCTTAGCCTAGACTGGTCTAATGCATGTTTTGAGGAGAAGTGTAGGTATTTTCTGACAAAGACGTAGATTTTTATTTTTTTTATCTTTAACGTGAAGTTCCATCTGCATGTTACAAAAAAACAAAAAAAGGGTTAAAGACCACAGCAGCCAATGAGCTAAGGATAGCAAATGCAGTAGACAAAGAAACCTGTCTTTGGTTCTGCTCTATATTATGCTGCTCTGCAAAGGCCATCCTGGTGCAGCCACCAGCACAGCGTGCTGTGAGTGTCCTGCCTCAGGCTGTGTGAGCTCAGTAGCTGTGGGTGCAGCGGTGATCCCCTCACACACTGGGCTCAGTTACACAAGCCTGCTGTGAGCCCCAGAGGCAAAGCTGCCCAGGGCATAGGCCTGTAGAGACCATCTGCTGTGGTCCTTTCCACACCATATTGGATCTTTCTGTGCAGCAAAGCATCTGAGGGGCTGAAGGTGCGTCCCAGCCCTGCTGGGAGGTCCACTGTGCAGCAGATGGGTTTTGCTCCTTCATGAGCCTTTTTGTTACTGACTGCAGACACTGTAGACCGAGCCAGCCTCTTGGGTCACAACCCCCATTACAGGCCTTTCATACATAGGAAGAACAGTGCCACTTGCGTTCATGCCCGCAAGACTCTTAGTAGGTCGTGACTCTTGCCTAGGTAAAGCCTGCCAGTCCAAGAGCACCAATTTCGGTCTCTTCTGTCGTTGCAAAATAGTTCATTCTTATGGATAAATCAGAATTAATGTTCTGTGGCAGTGGAAATACGGTTCAGTAGAGGGTCAGTGTGGTGCTGACTGACAGCCTAAAGCTATGGGCCTTGACCTGGGTCTGGCCTGCAAAGGCTAGTACAGTTTCCAAGGCACAGCTGTTAATTTCTCACATACTCTGGAGTATTATCAAGAAATATAAATATACAGGGCTTAAGAAAATGCAAAAATCCACAAAATGTCTTTTGTACTGTTTGACAAAATCACATAAATGTTTCTTTCATGTAAAATATCCTTGGTGTTTTGCTGATTCCAAAGAGAAATGCAAGGTGGTAACTGCAGTAACTAGTAAATAGAATTATAACTGCTTTCTGAAAGTAAAAACCCAATGTAATGATATAAGTGCAGAGTGGGTACAAAAAAGTAGTCTTCATTAGAGTCAAAATGGGACAGATGTGAAACATTATGCTAGTATTTCCTCAAGGGTAGCACTTAAGGAGTTCTTTGCTTACAGAAATGTATCACAGAAGGTTTGTATCAAAGTAACGTTAGCATAAGTTATTTGTGTAGAGGAGATAACCATCTCTCTTTTGGAATTTCACAGATAGGCTTATCAGATGTGAGAAATATGGCACAGACGTAATGAAAGCCTTCAAAAGATGCTCTTTGTCCCCCAGCCTTTCTCTGGAGAACTTAATGTCCTGAGGGGACACTGAAACAACAGTTGCTTGTGTTGAGTGAAAAAGCGGATATGTTCAAATTACAGTAATAAAGAAGGTGCACAGCTCACTGTAGTGTACCTTGTGACCAGCAAGTTACAATAGGTAATGAACTGATGTGTTCAAAGACTCCAGCTTTCCCAGTGCAGCAGGATGATATTAAGGTGCTTTGCGGCCAAACTCCCCAACACTCCAACATTTGCCATAGAGCCAGTGTAGCCTTTGGTTGCAGTCACACGCTGTGCATGGGCCCCTTGGTCTTGCTGGCTCTGTACCTGGGTTTTCTTTTCATTAAAGCTGCAGCACTGGTGAGATGTCTTCATCTTCTCCTGAAATAGTGGCCAAATGTGGCTGTTGTCTTACACACTCTGCAGGAGCCCCACAGGAACTGGTGTCTTCACACAGTGCCTGGTCTGTAACATGTTGAAGCCAGTGAGTGGCCTTTGAACAAACAGCTGGTGCTACAGCTGCTGCCCTGATGCTGCATGCTGCTGAAACATGCAGCTCATCCTCAGCATGGAGGAAATGGGGGGAAGGTGCCACTGGTCCTGGAGAAAAGTTCCTGGCAAGGGTCCCATGCCCAGGAGGAGGGTGATGGCTGTAGAGTCACAACGGGCTGGCAGCACAGAAGCACAGGAACCATGAAGCTGTGGGGTCCCCAAAGCCCACTGCTCTCTCTCCTGATTTGGGTGCATTGTGGATTCTGCAGGTCCTTGGGCCAGTCCTCCAGTCTGGGAGGACTTCATTCTCAGCTCTGCTTTCCTCTGGGCCCAAGGTGAGTGAGCAAAGTGGTTTGGGGGGTGGGGGTGGGGGGATTCAGAGATCCAGCTTTCCAGGAGTGAAAGGAAGTTAAGGACAACATCTCTCCCAGCTTGCGCTTTGAGCAAGTGTCAGAAAGAAAAGGAGTAAGTAAAGCATGCTGGACTGCACCAGGCCCATTTTCAGATGAACACTAGCCATAAAAATGATTGGTATTTAATGAACTGTGCAAAGTTGAACTGGTTTAACTGAAAGCATGTTTTGTAAATTGATTTCACTAAGCTGGTTCAAAATCCCCATCAAATCTTGCCCTGAGTTAATACAGAGCTGTCTCCAGAATATTACGTTATGCTCACTGAGAATAACTAAGCTAAAATCGTGACCTGATCTAAATATGTCTATGCTATTCTTTATGCCAATTGAATAGTTATTTTTAGTTTAAGAACCAGTGATTGGTGTAACTTGTGGCCCAAGGCTATGATCATCTGTTTGTGGGAAGAGAGATATGTTAATGGTTTGAACTAATGCTGCTGATGATTTCCATCAATGAGTCTGAGATACAGAAAAAAGCCACTGAAGAACTCTCCAGAACCGCAACGTCTTGTACAGAGGGACAGAGGGCATTCCAAAAAATGCCACTGGGATATGTCCCAAAGGGTTCCAGCTCTTTCTAGCTGTGTTGTAGCAAATACTGTTCTGTGACATCCTCATGTTTTAACAGTCAAAGTAGCAGCTGGGGATAAAACACTTGCTTTTGTTTCTGAGCAAAAAATCAGTGGGTAAGAAGATAGGACTGTATTTCAGAGCAGTGAAAAGGGCCTCAGAAAGCTCTGCTTTACCTCTGCTGGATGTAAAGAAGTTGTGATGTCTCAGAGGTACCACAGAAGGAGCCAGAGCATGCCCATAACTTTCCAAAACTCTCTGTGCTTGTGTTTGTCCTACTGTCACAACTCCTAGGCTATAAGGAGAGCTGAAGCATGTCTGCAGGGGAGTTTTGGGAGAGAATGGCTTATACTAGGTATTCAGACTGCACAGTAATTAAATTGTAACAGTAAAGCAGTTAGTAAAGGTGAAGTTTAGTAGCTATCTACTTCCTTTTAGCAGATGTGTGTCTTTGGGTTAAGGCACTGCTTTGGCATCCTAAAAAAAGCTTTCCAGCAATGTTGCTTTGGTGATGTGGATAATCTTTCTGCATCTCCTCCCTTATCTAAAACACAGGCAAACTTCCCTTCTCCTCAGCAGACTTGTTTGGGTCAGGGACTGCCTCTGATGGTACAAAAATCATACCCATCACCATACAGAACTGACCGTGGAGCTCAGTTCAGCTCTAAGAGTGCTGCTGCAGCAGGAACAGATAGCAACAGGAACATCCAGCTATGCTGGCTGTGCAATACTCGCTAACACAGAGGGTGAAGGGAGGCTGTTTACCTGACTGCAGAGCCTGATTTTGAGTGTTCCTATAAACAACTTTCTCAGAAGCCAAGGTGAAATCTCATGCTCCGAAAGCATCTATTAGTATGTAATAATTAATTATTTCTTCTTTTTAAATTTTAATGCAAAGGAATATATGTTTTGTACATTATACAAATCCATAAAGAGTACTAGAATGTAAGTACCAATCCTTGATTCTAGGCTTCAAAATAGAAAGGCTTTGAGTTTTCTTTTAATTTCTATTTCAAGTCTTTTCTGAATTCTGTGGAAGTTTCCCATAAAAGGGCTTTGTTTTCAGCTGTAGTTCCTGCTTTTCCCTGAGAGCGCAGTGAAGGGGATGGTTAGGTATGCCGTCACACTGAGTTGGTCATGTTAGTAAATTCTTTTCTAAAAAGAGGTGTCAGATTGTTCAGCCAGCTGAAGTAATCCAGTTGGCAGGAGAATGACTAAATTCAATAAGCAGAATTTTAAAAACACTGTGGTTCTTTGTTTAACAGCCAGATTCTACAAAATTAGCTCCAGCTCTGAAATAATTTCTCTCCCCACCCTGCCCATATTATCCCCCTTCTGTCCTGCATGTCACTACCTCTTCTCATTGCCTTGTTTTGTTTGGTACTATTCAGCTCTGGAGTCCTTCTGCACGTCTCCTATGGTGATCTGCTCAGCGCAGAGTCAAGTCAAGGCTCTTGATTTCAGCTCAGGGAGCGAGGCAGCTGGTGTCGGGTATTGCTGTCCCACTCTGCGTGCCCTATGCAGTAATTCACTTCTCTCTGGAGGGAGTGCCAGGTGTCTAAAATAAATCCTCAGCAGGAATGCATGACTTGTGCAGGCAGATGACAGAGGTTGATCTAAATCTATCTGTAGACATGGCTGGGCAGGGAGGACCCATGTCCCTTCAGCACTGGGAGGGAAGATCGTGCACCCACAGCACACTGATGGATTTTACACAGGGAAATTTTTGTAAAGGGTTGAGTTCAGTTATCTTGAGCAAAGAGCATGCTTTGACCTGTTATTGCTGTCGCAATGTGAGCATTGCAATGTGAGCACCAACCACTAGCAAATCTGGTAGAAATAAAAAACACTCAGGAAAGAGAAACTGTCTGTGCTACAGTCCTAAGTTTTCTACACTGCTGCTCTTTACTCCTGGGAAAATGCGCTGTTCTTTTCTTTTTTTTTTTCCCTTGTCTATTGGGATGGATGAGCAGACAAGTTACCTGCCTGGTGCTGCTTGCAGCTCCTGATAGGAGTAGGCTCCGCTACTGCTCAGAGATGCTTCTTAACATATTCTCCCTCTTTCATATTTTGCCTTTCCAGAGTACAGTTTGTTTGTGCACTGACCAGGTTCAGGGTTGTACATTTCGTATTGCCAGCAGCCCTGGAGCTTTTTTCTGAAGATATTTCTTCCTTTCTCTTCACCTGTGCTCCTCTTTGTACCTTTCCTACTTTGATAAAACCATCACTGTTGGTTAGTGTTTTTCTTCTTAGAGGA